TCATTATAAATAAAGAAAATTTACTGATTTTTTGTTTTTTAACAAAATAAAAATTCACAATGTCAAATTCTATTCCTTCTCAATTGTCATCACCACCACATAATGTTGACTTAAACTCAGATAATATATCTGAAAATTCATTCAACAATAACCAACATTTAGCAGGATGTCCTATATCTGATGTATGGTCACATTTCGTTAAAGGAGAGGAAAAAACAAAAAGACATTACTCAGCATCTTGTAAATATTGTCCAAAAACTTGGAATCGTGGAACACCTTTTAAACTCAAAGCTCATTTAGCAAATGAATGCCCTAGTTGTCATTATTCTATTTCTCATTTTTATTTAGATGGAATTAATCAACAAAGCAGTAAAGTAGTCAAAAAACAAAATGCTCAAACCCCTTTGTCAAACTTTTATGAAAGCACTGTTCTAACTGATCAAAGAAAATATTCAATTAATAAATCATTATTATTGGCTTTCATCTGTTGTGGTATACCATGGAATGTAGTTGAAAATCCATTTTTTATAGAACTTTTAAAACAATTAAGACCTGCATATGAACTTCCTTCTCATCAGAAAAATTACTTATAGATGAAACTTCATTAATTAATTCACAATTAAACACAATCTTTGATTCAAATGATAATTTAACATTAGCATTAGATGGTTGGTCTGATCCTAGATGCAATTCAATTTGGAATTTTTTAATATATACATCAAACAGACAACAATATTTATTTTCTGTGGAAAATCTTTCTCATAGTAGCCACACAGGTCAGTTTCTTGCTGAAAAAATTAAAGAAATCTTGATAAAAATAGGTCCACAAAAATTTGGGGCAATAGTAACTGACAATGGATCTAATGTTAAATTAGCTAGAGAAATAATTTCCAAAGAATTTCCTCATATATTTAATCTTAGGTGTATTGCACACTGTGTGAATTTAATTTCTAAAGATTTCCTTCAACATTCTTTTGCAAAAAATCATCTTTTGTTATGTAATAGAGTAATTAAGTTTTTCAAAAAATCTCATCAAGCTAATAATATACTTAATCATTATATTAATAATAATAATATTGCTGGTGGGGGTTTAAAAAAATATTGCAAGACTCGGTGGACATCTGCCTATGATACTTTGTCATCATTTGCACGTTTAGAGTCATGTTTTATTTTAATTTTGACAGAAAATGGTGATCTAATTCCAAATCCAATTAAGAAAATTTTGAGGAGATTCAATTTTTTTAGTAATGTTCGAAATCTTTCTTACATTTTCAAACCAATGAAAGATTCTGTAACAGTTTTGCAATCAGAAAATACAAATCTTGCTGATTGTTATCTACATCTTGTTAAGTTAGCTGTTTCAATTAAAAGAAATTCAATCAATACAAATTCTAATTTTAAAAAATTTTGTACTAGTAAATTTAATTTACGATGGAAAGAATTCAATCACACAGGATATTTATTAGCATATTTTTTGCATCCAGGTTACAAAGGGATTGGAATTAAATATAGTCAATTTCAAAATGTTGCAGAAATTGCAGCAACTTATTGGAAATCTATGCAAAAATCAAAAAAATCTTGTACAGAATTGCTTTCTCAACTGCGGAAATATAGATTACAACAAAGACCTTATAACATAGCATATAATAACCAACATGATAGTCCACTTTCATGGTGGTATACTTGTGAAGATAACTATGATCATCTGCAACAACTAGCGATTAAATTATTCTCAGTTGTTCCACATAGTGGTGGATGTGAATGTATTTTTTCATATTTAGGACAACTTTATGGAAAGAATTGTCAAAATTTAAATATTAATTCCATAAACAATATTGCTAAGATTCATTCTTTTTACCTAAGCAATGTTAAAAAAGAACTAAAATATACTGGCCAGATTTTATCAGAAAAGGATTTAAAGAGTATGTTAATTGAAGCAGAGGTTAATTTGAATGATGATGAGAGTGATGATGATGAAAGTGATAATAATAATGATTATATTGATGATAATAACAATGATGAGGATG